TCTTTTGACAATCTTATCCTTGTATGATAGGAAATACTCTTCTGGAATAATCTTTTCATAGAATACTCGGGCGAATATAGTATGCTGGTGACGGATTTAATTGAACTCGTAACTTTTGATGCAGAGTAAAAATATATGTGTAAAAATTTATTAAAATTACAAAAATAATAAATAAGAACACATAAATTTAAAAATATAATTAATGGGTTTAATATTAAAAATATTAAGAATTTAACCCATAAAATTCAAATCATCAATCTATGTTTGAATACTCGTTGTTCTTGATACGTGGGAGAGGTTTTTGAGGAAGTATAAGAGAGCCCTGTAGGGTAAATCTTGAAGTTTCTCATAATTCCATTAAGAAATGTAGTGTAGCATATTTTGTGTCAATATGTTATGCCCTTCTAATAAAGGATAAAGAAATAGAGCTTAACTTCTACATAATATTGTATTAAGGATTTTTTTTTAATGAAAGAGGGCCTTGGAACAATGCTAAAGTTTTCTCTTTGTAGCCTGTAGGTCACGATTCGAACCGTGGAAGCAGCCACTAATATTTACATTAGGGTAGATTGTCAATAACACATGCTGCCCTTCCTGGGACCCTTTGTGAATCAGGATGCTTTGAGAAACTGAACCGAAAAGATTAATGATTTTTCATCTAAAATATAAACACCAACTTATAATATAAGTAATAGTCTTATGAAATTAGTGACATAAAAATAAGTATATTATCTACTATAACAAATTAAAATACATTAATAATATAAACATTTTTGTGTATACAATCAAACTTTTCTATAACAGGCTCGTTTGTTCCAAATATTTTTGGACGTTATAGCGAAGTGTTGTTATAGAAAACATATATTATAACATAACATGAAAATTAATTCCGAAAAAATTTGATTTTTATAATAAAGTATTGTTATTTAGGGATACTGTTATAATTAGGTATCACTTTATAAGTTAAATCCTAAGAATAAGGTTTAGAGCCCTTTTTTTTGGTTGGAGAAGGGCATTTTAGGATAGAGGAGAATGAGGGGAGCAAAGAGGTTGCGTGGGGAATGGTTAGGATTCTTTCTTTTGGAGTGCGTACGCTAGCTTTGTGTGTGGGATGATCAGTTCAAACATCTTTGCTTTATTTTTGCAACTTTAATTTTGAAGGCTATGCTTTTCTTTCTCTTGTCTACCCTTCCCCACCTTCATCCAATGTACTTTGTTTGGAGTTGATGCTAGATGCTCTTTAGGACCACCTAGTGACAAACTTGTAATTAATTTATTCTTTAAAGTGTGTGATTATCATTAAAAAAAATATTTGAAAACAAAAAGAGAAGAGATATGTTGCCCCACCAAGAAAATATGTCTTAAGCCCTTGGTCATAGTATTAATTCTTTTCATCTGTTTAAACTTTAGTAGGGTCGATTTGTTCTGTACTTGTGCTGTTGGAAGGTGCTAGTTGACGTTGCGCCTGTTGGTCAAACATCACTATTATCTTTTGAAGCTGCCATTAATGATTGTATTAGGGCAGGTTGCCTACGTCATATTCCTTTGAGTGCGATCTTTCCTCGAATTTTGCATAAATACGGAATGTTTTGTGCATCTGACTGCCTTTTTTTTAAATTATAGTATTATGAGTTTTGGACTTAATGTTCCTTCTAGGATTTTAATATTAGTTGCTTGATTATAGTATCATGAGCTTGTGCAATATTCTAAGTTTGATGCATGCTGACCCTTCCTTAATGTGTATGCAAGGTATTTCTGTCTTCTGGATCACACTATTACCTACTATCTTAGCTAAGTTTGTTTCGTAAAAAGTTTTGATGCAATGCTGCCAGGTCATCGCAGCTGGATAATTCTAGATATATAATGGAAGAAGGAATATAATCCCCAAAACAAAAACAAAAAAAGGATTTGAGTTCCAAGATTCCCTTTCGTCAGTATGAGCATTTGGCTTGTATTGTACGTGCTTTCAAGAACAGGTAGTATGAGTTTCTAGAGTTTCAGTATATAAATTAATGAGTTTTAAGTTTTATGTACTGACGGTATAATGATCAAATCACTTTGTAGTAAGTTGATAAGTTATACTTCCTCCGCTTCAATTTATGTGAACCTATTTTTGTTTTGATCAGTGCCAAAAAGAATGACCCCTTTCTTTATTTGGAAACAATTTACCTTTATGCAATGATTTATAGCCACACAAAATACATGTGCCTTATTTTACACCACAAATTCAAAAGTCTTCTCTCTTTTCTTAAACTCCGTGTCCAGTCAAATGGATTCACATAAATTGAAACGGAGGGAGTATGTCTTTTTGTATTTTGATGATCTAATAAACTTTATATGAGAATCAGAAAATGAACTTGTTTACACATCCTCAAAAGTGTTCAAGAACGACAAGTTACATTGTCTGACACAAATTCCAACATGTTCAGCCAAAGAAGTGCAAAGGGAATAGATGGCTATTAGTTTCTCCGGTAACAGTACAAATCAACTCTCTGTAAAGTCGCTGCACTGTTTCTCCGCACACGTAACAATGCAACAGTCACTTTATACTTGATGCAAGGGAACACACACACTTGCATAATCCTAAATCATCAATTCTCTTTCTCAAGTGTGTTGCCGACTTTCAAGTGACTCCAAGGCTTGAAGAGCAAAGCAACAACATAACGAAGGACCAAATCATATCACTGAGTTTATCATATGCCTTTAGTGTTGTTGTATCTTGTTAATGTTATTTATTTGTAATTCCTACTCAGCTTACTTAGAAGCATTCTATAGGAGATCGTTTGTAAACTCATAAATCTTATGTTTGTGTTTTGGCCAGAGTTAATCAAAGTGTGAGCTTTGTAATAGAGTCATTACAAATAGGCTTTGCAATAGAGTTATTATAAGTAGGTGATGAATTAAGAGGTTAATTCCTAGATTACAATAAGTTGTAATCTAAAGTTTGCTCAGTTAGTGAAGTTGAAATCCTATGAGTGTAGGTCGTGCTTTTTAGTCCCGCGAGCTGAGAGTTTTCCACGTAAAATTCTGATGTGTCATTTACTTACCGTTGTGTATATGTGTTTTGTGGGATCTAGTTCTCTATACAGTTTGGTGGACTATCAGTTACTATTGTAAGTGAAAATATATTTATTTAATATGTATTGATTGTGATTTAGAGCGAATGACAAATAACTTCCTAGAACAGATTAGAAAGTGTTGATGATGCAATTTTTTTTTTTGGGTGCAAAATGTTGAACTTATCCACAATGGAAGCTAAGATTTGGTGCTATCACTTTTGATGTGTGCCTATTTTGCGTCTGATTTCAGAGAACGCACTTTCCGCACAAGCTGATCGGACTATGATAGCATTTATAGTATTAATTCTGAGAAAAAAGAGGGGAAAGGAAATTGTTTATGACTTTACCAGAAAATTGTTTATGACCTTTGTCTATGAAAAATTCTTTGGATAACTTTTTAAATTGATAAATTAATATAGTGTTGTACGTTAGTATCCAATTGACAATAATAGTTGATATAACTTCCCATTGTTGGACTTGGGAGTTTTAGACTCAAGGCGATTAGTTGGGGTGAAAAATAACTTCTTTTTACTAAATCATGCGAAGCTACGAGTAGTTTATCGGACAAATTGAGTTACTGTGACAATACGTTTCAACCATGAGAACCAATTAGTTTTTAGATTGGAGCCAACCACCTCATATACGAATATATTGTTCTTGCTTTAGCTATCATATAGTGGTGTAATAGCAATACAAAATAGTAAGTATAAGTTTTTTTTTTTTAAAAATAAAACTAAAACTATGCCTTACTTCAAGCTGTCAATTTTTTGTAATGAGAAAACAATCTTCCTTTTTTTAAGGCTTTGGTGATTCTTCATAGGGTAAGGGAGAAATCAAAAGGTAGTAAAAAGCTAAGACGGAGAATCTTTCTCTGATCAAAGGCTGTGGCCGAAAGTTAAAAATTCAAAATATGTCATTGACAACATGTAATGGATCGGATTCTCGGAATAAAAACTTAGGACCGGTTTGGCCATGGGTTTTGCCAAAATAAATTTGGAATTTATTTGGCAAATTCATGTTTGGCCATAAAATTTGCCCACAAAATCCCAAACCTCAAATCCAAAATCACCCCAAATGTGATTTTGGGCCAAAATCCCAAAACTTGGGAATTATATTATGTCCAAACATATTTTCATCTTCAAACCAAACTTCACCCAAATCAAAATTTTCAAAACAAATTTGGGAATCTATGGTCAAACGCTAGCTTATTTTCAACTACTAGGAAAGTTGCAATACCAACTACCGCAGCCAGTTTCATCTTCATTGTGTGTAACTGAAGCACAGGCAAGGGCGGATCCAGTGCATTAGTTACTGGTTCCTGTGAACCCAGTAACTTTGGTCTAGATTCTTTATTTATATTGAAAATTTCATTAAATGTATAATAGTATTTAGCTTGGAACCCAGTCCGTTAATCCAGTTATTATTGTATATTAACTTGAGATTTTTGTACTAACCCATAAACTTAAAATCCTGAATCCGTCACTGCACTGGCGGAGTCAAAATTTAAATCTTATTAGTTGAGAATTCTCACTTGCAAGTTAATGAGTTCTAAATTAAGGATGAGACATATTAAATAAATTTTTTAAAATAAATATAAAATTTAAATTAAATTACTGAATTGGCCNGAAATTATTATTATTTCGGGCTTGATAGAAAAGGCACGACTGTAGAGTGTAGACGATAAACAACTAAACAAATAAAAACAATTGCATCAGTCTTCTTACAATTACAACCCATGACCTATCTACTGCTGTAACAACTGTCTAAACCTACTTAGCTCCCTTCCACCAAAGAACACAAACTCACAAAATCTAGTTCTTTTCATTTTCCTATCACCGTAGAGTACTCACGACTTAAAAATTCTGAATCTAACGCTGTTCATATTGTAACGACTTCCCCTGTCTAGATACGAAATCAATTTGTAAAATATATAAGAGAATTATGGCTAGAAAGGAAGGTAGTATTTTTTTTTTTTAAAATCTTCATAAGCTACAGGTTTCATCCACTTACATTTTCGAAGTTTGATGTATTCGTATAATATCTATTTTCAAGGTTCCCAATGCTTGTAGTCATCTAGCATAAAGTTATTACTCCTATCATGTATTTTTCTCAATATATTATAATCATATAGATGATCAACGCAGTTAGTAACATTAATCAACGTTCAGTTATTTAAATTCAAAAGTTAAATTTTTGATTAGATAACTCTTATCTGGTGGTAACATTAATATTTATCAAAAGAATTATAAACCAAAGAGACTTAAAATACGTTAAAAGAATTAGGGCAGGCTACACATTTGGCATTTCATTACAAAATATTATAAAATATATATTATAAAGATGGATTAGGCTACGTTCTGGTCACAAGTCCAAATTCCCTCTAGCTCGTAACCAAAGAAAGGAATCGGACAGTAAAAATTGCATAGAATATTAAAAAGACGATTTTGCCCTTCTTTAATAAAAGACTATTGACAAAGTACTGCAGGACAAAAATTTAAGCATGTTTAGGCTGAAGTTTTAGCAAATGAACTAAAAAACTTCAGCTTGTTTAGATTGAAGCTTCGGATAAAACTCAGGACAAAACTGTAAACTACGTTACAAACCTTCAGCATGTTTTGGTATGAAGTTTTAGCAAATAAACTAAATAACTTCAGCATACATCAGCAAAAACTCTTTAGAAAATTACATACTGCAAGACAAAAACTTAAGCATTTTTAGTCTTAAGTTTTAGCAAATGAACTAAAACTTAAAATGTTTTGTTTGAAGTTTTAACAAATGAACTAAATAACTTCAGCATGTGTTTGGTATAAAGTTTTAGCAAATGAACTAAATAACTTCAGCATGCATTAGTAAAAACTCATTAGAAAATTACATACGGCAAGGCAAAAACTTAAGCATGTTTAGTATGAAGTTTTAGCAAATGAACTAAAAAACTTAATCATGTTTAGTCTGAAGTTTTAGCAAATGAACTTAAAAACTTATGCATGTTTAGACTGAAGTTTTAGCAAATGAACTAAAAAACTTAATCATGTTTAGTCTGAAGTTTTAGCAAATGAACTTAAAAACTTATGCATGTTTAGACTGAAGTTTTAGCAAATGAACTAAAAAAACTTAAGCATGTATAGTCTGAAGTTTTAGAAAATGAACTAAATAACTTCAGCATGTTTAGACTGAAGTTTCGGATAAAATTCATGACAAAACTGTAGACGGCATGATATATAACTTCAACATGCATTAGCATGAAGTTTTAGCTTCAATATGAAACAACTTCATGCTACATTAATATGAAGTTTTAGCTTCAACGTGAAACAACTTCATGCAAGTGTGATTCTGAAGATGAATCTGGATAAGTTTCTAATTTTTTGAAAGCTGGTGAGAGGAGAGGATGAGATCTTTTTTCACGAATGATGTTGCAGATCACGCGATTAATGTGTGATGCAAGATTTATATCTTTTGTTATAGGTGTAATTTTCATATTATTATGAATTTTTGGTCAGTTGGTTATCAAATCAATAATTTTTAAAAATAGGGTACAGATTAAAAGGTGGCACAAATATTGGGTACGGCCGCAAAATCCCTAATAGGACATCAATTGAATTCTGATTTACTTGGGCCCCTTCCCCAGGCCCAGATTTATCTTCTTCGGCCAAGTCCATTAATCTGACTACGTCTCCCCCTCTCTTCCCCAGTGCGGCCTGCTGCTCCGGCGAACTTCTCCGGCGAGTCATCACTGCCTCTTTCTCCTGTGAAAATTTAAGTTATAGGTTCCCCTCTTTGTTTCTCCTGCTGCTTTTCGAAAACCCTAATTTCTCTTCTTCTTTTTTGTTAAGTAATTTTTATATTTTTGACTTTTAAATGCTTTATATTCTTTGAGCAATCAGGAAGATTTGATTTTTTTTCAAGTTGTGAATTTTTGCATTCATATTTGCTTCCTGTTATAGCTCCAAATTTTGAAATGGTGTTCTAGTCTGCTTCTTGACTCTTGAGTATGAGTAAAAATATAAAACGCTCAAAGATGAGATTTTTGTTATTTCATTTTGCTCTGCGAATTTTCAGCTCATTGATATCACAGTCTCCGAATTGACCAGATATTTCAAATTATGCAAGCAGCTGATTTCTATTTCTTATGAAAAAATTATGCTTCCTCCATCAATCTCTCGCCATTTCTTGAAAACTAATTCAGCCAACACGCCAATTTTCTTACTCCATAAGGTTCTTTTATTCACCACTTGTTCATCATCAGCTGGAGAATTCTTGAGTCATTTGTTGAAAAATAAAAATGGGTCTGGTCTGGAGAAGACTCTGAACACAGTTAAGGCTAAACTAGATGCTAAATGTGTTAATGAAGTATTAGAGAAATGTGCCGTTGATGATCCTCAAACGGGTCTCAGATTCTTCATTTGGGCTGGACTTCATCCCAGCTATAGACACAGCAGTTACATGTTTAGTAGAGCGTATAAACTGCTCGGATTTGAGCGTGAACCACGAATTATTCAAGATGTCATTGAGGCTTATAGGTTGCAGAATAATTATGTTCCAAGTGCTAAGATGTTCAAGGTTATTTTGAATTTGTGTAGAGAGGGAAAAGATGCTAACTTGGGCTTGTGGGTGTTGAGAAAAATGAAAGAGTCCAATTGTAGGCCGGATACAACGGTGTATAACGTAGTTATTAGATTGTTATGTGAGAAAGGTGATATGGACGAGGCAATGGGTTTGATGAGAGAGATGGACTTGATTGATCTTCATCCTGATATGATCACTTATGTTGTGATGATTAAGGGGTTGTCTGAGTTGGGTCGGTTGGAAGAAGCTTGTGGATTAACCAAAGCTATGACGGGGAATGGATGCGTGCCAAATACGGTGACCTATTCAGCTCTTCTTGATGGGATTTGTAGGTTCGGGAGTTTGGAGAGGGCACTTGAGTTATTGAGAGAAATGGAAAAAGATGGTGGGCAGTGTAAGCCCAACGTCGTTACTTATACTACTGTGGTTCAAAATTTTGTTGAGAAAGATCAGTCGATAGAGGCATTAAGTATTTTGGACCAAATGAGGGATTTTGGTTGTAAACCAAATAGGGTACTTATCTGTACTTTGATTCAGGGTCTATGCAAAGATGGGCATGTGGAGGAAGCTCGTAAAGTCATTATCAGAGTAGCTGAAAGTGGTCTTCCATATGATTCTTGTTACAGTTTTCTAGTTTTATCACTGTTTCGGATTGGAAAACTCAAGG